AGCATAAAAATAAAGTATTTTATTTTTTGTTTTTAAAAACATATTTTTTGTTACACCTAGCAGCCAGTAACAAATTGCTGTCGCTCTTAAATACATTAATAGCCTCTAAACATGGCAAACAAAGATCTAAGTAAACTAAAAGTTTATTTTTAATTAGTTTTAATGAAGTCCCGCCACTTTGCGTTCATAACAGAGAATACTCTTTCTGTAAATGCCGAAGTCGCCGGAACGGACAGCAAAAGTGACACTACTTTGAACAGATTTGAGAAATCAGGTTGTTCCGTAAATATGGCTTGCCATTTTTCTGTGCAATATTATTGATATAAAGGTACTCTGAACTTCGAATAATCGCTTACAAAATTACGATGTTTACTTAAAGCCTTAAATAAAGTATTTTTGCGTACTTTATGTGTCTTGTAAAGTATAACGTACGCACAGTTGAAATAGAGTACAATACTTTATAATAAAGTACGGGTGGCAACCCTACCTCTACCCCTCCTAATTCCCGTTTCTGGCTCTAATATATCTCTGACTAGACCTTCATGCCTAAGAAGGTGTCTTACCAACCTATCTCGCCTATTTGTTATTCGAATATGTACCAGATAATTTATGCCAGTTTGTCGTCTAAATTCTTAGTAAAACTTAAAATAAAAATGCAAACTGCAGCATTTTAGCCAAGTCTATTATTGTTTTAGGGGCTTGTTATGTAGTAACATCAGTGTATATATCTGCATCATTTTTAAAATTCTTTAAATTGATTTTGTTTTGGCCCGTAGCCATTAACGTTAATGTACAATAGTTAGTAAATTTATAGTTACAAGAAGTACGAACAAAAAATAAATTATTTATGCTTATGTTCGTTATTGTTGTTAATATGGTTCCACTTTGTAATTGACACAGCTACCAACATATTGTTCTATGTATATTGTGTCACTGTTATTTTAGGCTTTAGTTTTTATATTGTGAAAGTTGTATAGCAAAAAAAACCTTTGCTGATATTTATGCTGCATGGTGATATTAGTGGATACCGTTTTGTTTAGTAAATCTAAAGCGCCAATTTTCTTATTTTATTAACTAAATAATTTGAAACTAGTTTATATCTAGGTATATGGTTGCCTTTTTATTAGCTTTGGGGATATAGAAATTCATTTACAAATAGTAATGGAATTAATTGACTACTTCTTGTTTCTAATAGATTTGACTTTTAGTTTGATCTTTTTATGAATTTAGAAGATGGGAGAATGCGGTCTAGGATTTGATTTTTATTTCTTCTACTTCAGGATCTAAATTGATTGCTTCAATGATTGATTTGTCGCATATCTCGAGAATTAAATTTCTAAACATTACGAAAATGGTTAAGAGACATACCGGAATCAAAAAAAAATTTCTTTTGCCATCGGCCAAAATTGGACCCTAAACAGTCACAATATCTTAGAAACACAAAAAAAAATTATGTTTGTACTGCTGGTACCCAAAAATGGGTCTTACCTACAACCTCTTTTAACATAATATTTTATTTTTCTAATAAAGATGTCGAGTAATTTCACTTGATGTGTAGGAGACTTGTCTTAAAACCAGTGGGTTACTAAGTAAACATCTTTGAAAAACTTTTTGTCCACGCTTTTTATTTTTATTGTTGGTAACGGTTGGTGAATGTCTCTTTGATTTTGGATCCTTTCTGTGAGAATCATCAATAGATGAATCAACGAAGAATTGACTATCGAATAAAAATATTTGCATAAAATAGAATAAGTATTAAATGCTTGATTACGAAAAATTCTTATTAAAAAACGCTTGCGTTAAGAACTTTTACAGATGCAAAAGTCCATTTAACCGTTGTACCATTACGACACTTATCCAATTAATTACCACACAAGCCGAGATTTACAACTTACATAAAAAGCAAATAAGAAGAAAGTCATACGCGTTGTACGCATTTTTGTATGTTAGTTTACATTAACATAAATAAATTTTTTCTGGCGACCTTGACGCAGCCATTTGAATTTGCGTTACACCCTGAAAGTTAAAGTTGCATTTGTAACAGCTTATGTAAGTAATATGTTTCTAGATACTTACAACATTAGAATGAATAATACTTTCGTTCAAGGTATGTATCTTGAATGTCATATACGTATGTGTATCTATGTATTATAATGCAGACTTGATTATCATAATGAAGGTTGACACCGAAGTTCTGATCGGTTTCACTATTGTTTTGCTGAATTGTTTGAAAATAACTCAGTTGATGTGAATGCCAGTTGACG